CACACACACAATAAACACACACGGATAAATACAGCGAGAACAGCACACACGGCCAGCACAATGAACACAACAGACAACAACACAGACACAATAAACACACACGGATAAATACAGCGAGAACAGCACAGTAAACATAATAGACAACAACAGAGACACAATAAACACACGGAATAAATACAGCGAGAACAGCACACACGGCCAGCACAATGAACACAACAGACAACAACAGAGACACAATAAACACAATAAACACAATAGACAACAACACACACACAGTCAGCATAATAAACATAATAGACAACAACACACACACAGTCACAATAAACACAATAGACAACAACATAGACACAATCAACACAATAGACAACAGAATATACACAATAAACATAATAAACACAATAGACACAACAGACAACAAAATAAACACAATAAACACAATATACACAACAGACAACAAAATCAACATAATAAAGAACAAAATCAACACAATAAACAAAATAAACAACAAAATAAACACAATAAAACAAAAAACAATAAAACGAACACAACAAACACAATAAGCAACAAATAAACACAACAAACAAAATAAACAATAAAATAAACACAATAAACAATAAAATAAACACAATAAACCAAAATAAACACCAAAACCACCAAAAAACCACCAAAAACCCCCCAAAATAAACCCCAAAATAAACACCAAAAACACCCAAAAAATGCAAAAACCCCCCCCAAATAAACTCCAAAATAAACACCAAAAAACCCACCAAAAATCATAAAAAAATACCAAAACCCACCAAAATAAACTCCAAAATAAACACCAAAAAACCACCAAAACCCCACCAAAATAAACACCCCCAGTGGGCTGGGTTTTGTTGCTGTGGGCGGGGTTTTTGGTGGCTGTTATCGATCACAGCCGGTTTGGGATGTGTGTGTGTGTGTGAGATGTAAGAGATGTGTTATTATGTGTGATAAAAATTGTGTTATGGGTATGGAGTTATGTAATACGTGTAATAAATGTAATAAATGTAATATATGTAATATATGTAATATACGTAATATAGGTAATATAGGTAATATAGGTAATATAGGTAATAATTTAATTTTCTAATATGTAAAAATATGTATATGTAATTATGTATATGTCATTAAAACAGTAACATTATGTGTTATTGGTTTTAGGCTTTCACTGGGGCAGGGATTGGAATGAGGGGATTTTTAGGCTCTGATTTAGGCAGGACTTAGAATAAAGTGATTTTTAAACCCTGATTTAGGCAGGGGTTGGAATGGGGGGATTTTTAGGCTCTGATTTAGGCAGGGGTTGGAATGGGGGGATTTTTAGGCTCTGATTTCCTCCCCCTTGCCCACCGCCATGAGATCATCTCCAAGATCCCTTTCCAACCCCAAACCATTCCATTATTTAATGAACAATTCTCATTAATTAATCCCATCCTCGCTGCCCCTCCGGCAGCCGCCCAGCGGCCGAAAGGAATCCCCAGAAATCCCTGTGCCCTTTCTGCACCCACAAAGCGAATTTTGGGCTTCCCTGGTGTTTTTCTCACCGTAGAAGACGGAGGGGGGGTCGTGGAAGAAGGGGTAGTCGGTGCCGAAGAGCAGGTAGGCGCCGTAGGACCACGACAAGGAGTAGAAAAGCAACTTCCAGGCACTCTCGGGCATCTTGGCAGCATCTCTGGGCTGCAGGTTGCACCATTCCCCAAAGGGCTGCCCGGGAAAAAATGGGAATTTCATCAGGGAAGAGGGAAAGGAGCATCCCCAGGACAGCACAGCGTTCTCGTTAAAACACAGAATCCCAGAGGGAGGATGGCAAGGTTTGGTAGGAAGGGTTTTATGGAAGAGCTCTGGGAATCAGGGGGAAATCTGGGTCCCACATGGATCCCAGATGGAGGTGGGTTTATACTCCTTTTATTATATAACTACGTATTAATTAATAAACTGTAATTATTAAACTATCTATTAAACTATAAATTTTTCTATTATATATAATATATATTATATATAAAATACATAATCTATTATATTTTATTATATAATATTCTATTATTCTATTCTATTTTAATATTATTCTATTACATATGATAATATATCTATTATACATATTATATAAACTATATATTATTAAGCCCATACTGTTCTATTGTATGCATTGATCTTATCCAAGCATGAATTCCTGTAATTTTCATCAGGCCCCCCAAATATCCTTCCTCATGGTTCTTGCTACAATTGCATCGTTTCTCGTTATTCTTATGACAATTAAACAATAATTATATTCAATTAGCAAACAATGGTCACATTTAACAATCACATCATTTCTCACATGATGATCATGCAGGTGTAGCTTCACCTGATCTGGAAATAAACAAAGCTCAAAATTCGTTCCCAGTTATAGTTTAGAATAGAATAGAATAGAATAGAATAGAATAGAATAGAATAGAATAGAATAGAATAGAATAGAATAGAATAGAAGTTCCCTTTCCCAGCCCTACCAGACCCAATTTTCCTTCCCACCCCCCTGGATGTACTGGATGCAGTTCCTGTGATTTTTAGGAACATTTTAACCCCGTGCTGCCCTTCTGAGAGCTCGGGTCCCGGTTTTCCCAGCAGGAATGAGGCTGGGGAAGGGGAATTCGGGAATCTGGAGATGCTCCCAGGCAGCCCGGGGAGGGGGAAGTGGAGCCCGGAGCATCCTCCCCCTCCCCGGGAACAATTCCTGCTCTGGCAGGGCCGAGCCAGGAGCTCATAAAATAAAAATAAAGGGCAGGGAAAGGCCGGAGGAGAAGCTGTAACAACATTATCCAGGGAAAAAAAAAAAAAGGCAGAGGACGGGCAGGGCAAGGTGTGGGCACAGCCCCGGGCAGGCTGGCACTGCCACCAGGTGCCACCAGCACAGCCCGTGCTGTGCCACCCCTGCCCACATCCCCATTCCCGCTGGGATTCCCCACGCGGCGTTTGCAGCATCCTCCAGAGGAGCCCAAACCTCCCCAAACCTCCCCAAACCTCCCCAAACCTCCCCAAACCTCCCCAAACCAAGGCAGCTCTGCTGAATTTGGGTTAGTCCCGAGATAATTGATAAAAGGTTCGTGTTCATCACAAAATTGGGGTTGGTATAAACCACAATACTGAGCTCTGAAGTGAAGCATGGACACGTGATAAAGGAAATTATATGATAAGATCATTCTGTTTAAAATCACCTTGTTATGGTATATTATGTTGTATTTTGTTACATTATATTATGTTATGTTTTCCAAATAAATTGTATCGGGTCCCAGCTTGTAAAATCAGACTTCCCAAAAAGCCCTTCCTGCCTTTGTCTGATCAATGCTGCCCATCCCAAAAACCAAACTTCCAAAACTTCTCCAATAATTATCCCAAAACCCAAACTTCCAAAACTTCTCCAATAATTATCTAAAAAACCAAACTTCCAAAACTTCTCTAATAATTATCCCAAAAAACAAACTTCCAAAACTTCTCTAATAATTATCTCAAAAACCAAACTTCCGAAACTTCTCTAATAATTATCTCAAAAACCAAACTTCCAGAATTTCTCTAATAATTACCTAAAAAACCAAACTTCCAAAACTTCTCTAATAATTATCCCAAAAACCAAACTTCCAAAACTTCTCTAATAATTATCTCAAAAACCAAACTTCCAGAATTTCTCTAATAATTATCTCAAAGACCAAACTCCCAAAGCTTCTCTGGTGGTTATCTACAAAGACCAGATAACTATCTGCAACTAATTATCACCCAAAAACTTTGTAAATTTGTATTAAAATGTTTATTCAACCACCACTGCTTATAACAACAAAAAACCCAAAATTATTAATTACAATAAAATCCCACAGTATTTAAAAAAAAAACCTACAAACCAAAGTTCAGTGAAACATAAAGTAAGCAGCGACCCTTCACGTTCCCCAGCACTGTTTGCTCTTTCTATATCAAACAAAACAATCTAAATTTTACTAAATATCGAGACTTTTGTCTCTCATTTATAACAATCCCAACAAAATTCCCAATCCTGGCTCGAGGGGGGACAGGAACCACCCCCCAGCCCTGCCAGGGACAACGTGGGAATCACAGGAAAATGTGGAACAGCCTCATTTTTGGGGAATAAACAGACCCAGCAAGGCACAGCCTGGGTTTTTTTGGGAATAAATAAATCCAGTAAGACACAGTCTCGGTTTTTTGGGAATAAAGGGAGCAGGGGGTGCTGGGAGCCCCCTGGGAGGTTTTCCTGCCCCTCGGTGCCAGCTGAGCAGTTCCAGACCCCATTCCTGCCTCCGGGGCCTTGCCAGAGCCCCTGGGGCAGGGAAGGGTTTTGGGGGGAACCAAACCCAGCCCAATCCCCCCCTCAGAACCTCCCTGGCAGCTCCAGATGAGCTGGAGGTGAAAACAAAATCCCTGGGCAGTAACTGGACCCTGCCCCAGGTCAGCAATTTCTGCTCCTAAATTAAGGCCCCAGCTGTCCCCACGCCGTGGCTGCCCCGGTTCTTGGCCCCTCTCCCCTTTTCCAGGGGCTCCAATCCCAAAAGCTGCGGATTTTCTGGACACGTCCCACAGTGGGAGCGGCTGCCAAGGCCTTTTCCAAAGGGAGGAAAAAGAGGAGGAAGCTCAGAGGGGGATGAATAAAGCAGGGACAGAAAGTCCTGGGCACAGAAAGCATCGATTGTTGGAGTGTGCCCAGGGCAGGGGGACACAAAGCCCTGCTGGCCCCACAAGGCTTTGGGGTGGAGGGGAACACAGGGG